TACCAAGCCCAGGTAACTTAATTTCCCTTCACTTAAATTTCTAATGATTAAAAAAACAAAAATAAACACTTTTCTTCAGCTATATTAAATAATGACACTAAGTGTATCATAATAAAGAGCTACAGGAGATATTTCTTTATTGAAGACACTTATTAAGTGTATTAATAAGAATTGATGTTAAAGTGGGTTAGGAAAAATACTGTCTTTTAATCACTTAGAGTAAGTTACATCTCAGATACATCTTTCAAATACTGAATATATTTAATATTCTTATCTTTGTGAATAAACTTTAACTTCTGTGATAAATGGCTCAGAGCTTACCCAAGTAAGTTTTCTAAAAAGTACCTAGAAATTCTTAATTTCCAAAGGAATAAGTCAGATATAAAATGTGAAAAAAACTCTTTAGTTATATTGATGTTACTAATTATAGTAAATAAATCAGCCATTTAGTATTTACTAAGTGTAGTGGTGAAGTCATAGTCGAAGGTTTTCATCCAGAGAGAAACACAACAATTCATGTATTTGAGAGATGACTGTGACAACTAGGTATAGGACAGTGAGGTTAAGATAGGCTGAAAGACCAGCTAGGCTATTAACACTCATCAGAGGTTAGTAGAGGTGGTCAGCACTGTGCAAAGATGGTGACTGGAATTAGGGTATGTTTTGGAAATAGAAATATTAGGGCTGCTTACTGCTGGCTACCACATTGAAGGAAGATGTGTTATGAAGAATGGTGGTATTACTAAAATGGAGCAGAACAGGTTTGATTGTTGTTAGCCGTATGACAGACATAGTGCCAATTGCTTTCAGTATGTCATCTCATTTAATTTTCACAAAAGGCTTGTGAAGTGGGTATACTGTTCTCATTTTATAGATGAAGATGCTGGGCCAAGCTTTCTGGGTTGTGCACATATAACCTCACTGAAAGTAAATAACTTGCCCAAGGATGGACTGACTAGCTCACTGGTTAATGGCAGAGCTGGGATACATACTTGGACCTTTTCAACTTCAAAACCTGGGCTTTTTTAAAGCACTTTTTCCAAAGTTCATGTTTCAAAAAGAAATGTAAGCAAATGATGCCTATAGGACTAATGGTCTAATTTGTTGCTTGTCCTAATTAAACTTAACTTTATTCTCATGGAACACAAACATGTCAGCAGTTAGCTAAAGTAAAACTAAAGTTCCCCTATTTTAAATTAAATTATTCTAAAAATAATAGAACCAGAATAAAATTAAGAATCCTTTTCATAGCTTCATCCATCTGGAATATGTTTCTTTGCTCAGACTAGTTTCTTAGAATGCCTATCCCTCATTTGTGAAAATCCTTCCCATCCTTCATTTCCTTGTTAGATTTGTCTCCTCCCTGAGTCCTTTCTCCAGCTGACCCCACCCCCTGCTTTTCACTCACCCTGTTCTGTACTTGGGCAGTAATACTTTATGATACCAGAATTGATATGTTTACTCTCTTGTTTACTTGTTTTGTATATTGTTATGTTTTATGTACTGAGTGTAAATGACTAGTACAATAGAGTTTTGAAGCCTTTCAGAAAATACACCTACATTATATTACTTGAGTTTCAGTTAGTAAGAGAGTTATTTTTGTAGGTGCTAGTTGGCAGAAGAGAATGTTTTCTTTAAATTCTTCTTTTTCCCTCCCTTGTTTATTTGGTATAGCTGGAGAAACAAAAGATAGAAAAGCAGAAGAAGGAATTAAAAGCTACCAAAAAGACTCTTGATGAGGAAGGAAACAGCAGCAGCCGTTCTTCTGGAATCACAGGGACCACAAATAAGAAGGATTGTGCCAAACTGAGACCTGGAGAAAAAAGCAGGAAAAATCTTCAGTTATTGAAGGACATGCAGACCATACAAAATTCATTACAAAGCAGTAGTTTGTGTTGGGATTACTGAGTTGGACCAGGTCATAAATTTTATTCAGATAATCTGTACCTCATCAGTCAGTTGTTGACAATTTACTCATACTCACTTATGTTGGAATTAATTAGTAGCAGGTATTAAGGAACTCAAGCTTCATTACACTGGCTTTTTGTGTATGCAACATGACTAAATGTTAAACCATTTAAATGGAGACCAGGGGAGTTTTTAAAGCCTGAGAAGCCACACATAATCTGTTTCTTTGAGATTAATTTGCTGTACTGATCTATTGCACTTTGTAAAGAAATTACCAATTTTTTACTTGTGGATGTGATTTTATAAAATAGTTCTTTGTACGTAATAAAATTAGGTTTAAATTTTCAAAATATGAGGCTATCCCATAGGCAGTGCTTGCTTGAAAAGTCTCATTTTTAAATCTTCCCCTGGCATGAAGCGCCCACATCCCCTTTCTAATACAACCATTAAATATACTTTGTTTCTACTATTGATGGAAGTTTATCAATATTTCTATATTCAATGATTTTAATATTTAAATATTTATATATATTTAAGAGGATTTTTGGTTTTGTTTTGCTTTTTGGCATTTCAAACATTGATCAGTATTAAATGCCCTAGTATTGCTTTTTAATCCACTGTTAAAAATTTTTTAAAAGACCCAAGCAATCATTTTCAATGAACTGCCTGTAAAAATTATGAAAGAACTTTGAAAGTATAAACAAATTGTCAATGAAATGAGATTTTGATGTCAAGTTAGAGTGGAAGAGAAAATGGGGGATGTTATAGGCAAATACACAGTTGTAGTTTTTAATACCTGTTTATAATCATGCTATTCAGTCAAGGCATTATGGTTTTTAATATTGAAATTTAGAGATCCCCTTTAATATTTGCTTTATCTGGTGTACAGTATGAATGTAATATGACCTGTACACAATTGTCATTATGTTAATGTAAATCATAATTTTTAGATCAAGAAATGTTAACTTTTTATAAATTTGCCACTTAAGTCAATAAAGCAGTTCTTTTAAGAAGCACTGAAACTTTCTTTAACAGCCTGTTAATAAAGGCTTTATTTGGTGTAAACTCTCAAAAACAGTTCTAAATAGGACATTAATTATGAGAAACTATAGTATATATAGAAACTATAGAATGTGTATTTGGTACTTAATTTCCCATTCTCATGCTTATATAGAAAGTAAGCCCAACAAGATTGAATTACCTCATGATATAAGTGTGCTAATGGACGCATTAGCCACATATTAAAGGAATGCCTTTTATATGTCTCTCCTGAAATTGAGATGGAGTTCTATCTAGGATTATATCCAGACAGCCAGAATTAATTGTTGTGGCCACCTGAGCGCTAGGCTTGTCTAGCCTTTCTACAGTTGAGAGTTCTTAATTTAAGATCTTTAAGTAGATTTGGACTTATCTGTGAATCTCCTAAAGTTGTATGTAAACTTTTGCTAATGTGTGCCATTTTCTGATGAGCAGGTTTGTACCTTGATCAGATTCACAACAGTGAGCCTTTAGACCTGAGAAAAGTGAGAATCACTGCTCTGGTGACATGGTAAATATTTGTGTCTCAGCCACTTTTTCAACTATTAAACTTTTGTTATCTCCTTTTTTATATTTCAGGTCATTAAATTGTATAACTGTCATTTGAATTTTAGTGGCTCTGAGTCCTAATTAGGAGAAGAGTGATTGAATGATGCTAAATCCCACCCCATCTGTGAGCTAGGATTCAAACTAAAATAACTGCTCCCAGCTTTTGATATTCTCAGGTGAGAACTAAAAACAAGAAAATACTGCTTTAGGTTTCTTATCTGAGAGTTTATAGTAGAGGGATATGTTATCAATCCACTTATGCTGTAGCAGAACTTTATTGCATTTTGTTTCAAATACAAGTATCTTCTATGTCTAAACTGCCAATGTGGATACCAAGCTGAGTAAGAAAGGTATGTTTACAGACTGGTGGTACACATCTGAATTGTTCATTTCAATATGGCGTGGGGGAATGTAGTGGTAATAGCCATGTGCACAGTGCTGTGGGGCAGAGGAGAGGCAGGCATGGCAGAGAGGGGAGTGATGAATCAAGGATAACTTCCCAGAGGAAGAGATGATGCCTAAACTCTAGAGAATAGGACTTAGTTGCAAGGGAGAACAGTTGTTCCAGGTCCACAAGATAGAATCAACAGAACTGGGAAAGTAGGAATCTGCAGTTTACATGGGGGAATTATGTAGTAGTACTGGTACATAAAAATTGAGATATGCAGAGAAGAATAGAGGGTAAGGCAGAGATTACAGGAGGATAAGAAGTAAACTTTGGTCAGACTGGTCTCTAAATTTTGTATCCCTGATCATAAAGAAAAAGTACACATGCACAACCAATATTCATAGAAATATAAAACATAACTAAGTTTAGAAGTTTTGTTTGCGTAAATATATAAAAATTGTAAGCACTCCTTTCCCTCTTCCACACACATACCTGTGGTCCATCTTAGATGTTCAAGTGTAAGCACTTGAACATATTGGAGACTCCTACAGAAGATGAGGAAAGCCACTGGTTTGCACTTACATTTCTCTGCCTTTTGAATGGAATTTGAAGTAGATGCAAGTATATTAAAACTCGAAGCTTTAAATTCTTGATCTCTTCAGCTATTCTACATTCTCTTATATGGTATCAGACCAAGATGATAAAGGTTTAGGTGAGGAAAATGATGGAATGGAGAGAATAGAATAGATTTGTGAAATATTTGGAGTAGAAAATTTAGCTTTAATACTGATTGGCTGCTTAAGTGTCATTAAAAATTTTCTCATAACAAATTTCACACAATGACCAAATCATTTTGGTACTGATTTTGCTAATATTGGATGTACTAACAGAAACTATATTTCCTCATTGCAAAACCAAGCAGGGCTAAGGTTCAGACTATCTGTATAGTGACGTAATTAGTAAAAAAGTACTGTAGTTTTGATTATTGTTTGATTTGGGTGTTAGAGAAAAAATAGATTCATATTGAACACTTCCATTTGAGGTGTGTACTCCTCAAAACATTTCCAAATAACATTTATGCAAAATAAATAAATAAATAAATAAAACCCAAACTTGGAAGTCAGTTGAAATTTCTTTTAATTAAAAGACCAAGGGACAAGAAGCTCCTTTGTTACAGTACATTACATATGGCTCTTATATAGAGTAAAATATACATCAGGGAGTCAAATGTTTATACCAGTACAGAACTTTGACTTGTAGCAGGCCAACAATGTAGCAAGATTTCTTTTACTGGCATTGAGATTGTAATACATCTTTTACATGTAGTATGTTCTTTGGTAGACTTAATCATTCAGTGGAATTACAGAATTTGCAAAGGAAAATATATTTAATGTAAAATTTGAACATAGTACTTCTCACCATAAGTTATTTATATTAGCCTTCAGGAAAAGTCAGCCCTAGTAAGATTTTTAAATTGCTTAAAAACTTGCCAATTAGCTTCTGTATGTTTGGACACACAAAAAATAAGTAAAATAAAGTAGGGTACATGTTTTTAAAATATCTCCCATGATGTTTCTAGTAGTGGAGCAAATGGAAGCTAATTGAAGGCTGTGGAATTCTTTGAACTCCTGAATGGCCACCACTTTATCCCATTCATCTTCCCCCAAACACATCTATAAGGCATCATTTTGGAACAGCTATCTAATACATCTTAAATAAATATATAATAATTACAGCAATAATTTTCAACTACTACTACACCATAGTATCATCAACTTTGCCTTTCACTATATGAAGAATATGGAAGGTGAAAAGTGATCAAGGTGAATAATTTACTACAAAAAAGAAAAACCTATGATGGAGAAAGGGCTACCAAATGATTCTGATATGTCATGACATCAAGGCCCAATATATATGATGCCACAGAATTTCAGCTTTCTCCCATCAAAAGGTATATTTCTAAAGTGTTTGTGTTTTCATCTTACAACATGCCGAAATTTGTAAGACAGTGTTTTTCTTTTAATATTAGAAACTTAATCCCACTGGATTCAGGATTGAAGTATTTTAATATTCTTTGAGTGACTTATAAGATTAGTGTCATAATCATGTAATTACATATGGAATTATATCATTTAAGCCACCTGCACTGCCACAGTTGTAAACACATCCTAGAGAGATTTAAAATAAATAAAGCGTCTGAACTTTCTCTCAGAGATGGGTTTTGGAAGGCTTTCTACTCATAAAGCTGCCACTGTAATCAAGAGTTCACAGCAGTGATGCCCCTGATCTAATAGTCCTTCATACAACAGTTTGGACAGGAGTGACACACTGTGCAGGAGAGCCAGCTCTCTCTGAGGATGAGGTCGATCGGTTGGAAATCTCTCTCTGTAGTTCCTCTACTTTCTTCTGAAGTTCTGCTCGTTTAGCAAGAAGTTCTTTATATCTGCTGTGAATAGGTTCCTACAAAAGCAAACATAAAATTATTCAACCACGCAATCCTAACCAAACTCGAGGTCAGGTCATTCCCTAAATGTTGCAGTATGTGTTTTAGCCATTGGGACCAATCCTACCTTTCCAACCCAGAAATTAAGTTCAGGGACCACTGACACCACTGATGACACTACTGTTCTTTCACTGGCTTTCCCAGTGCCCCCAAGTATTTCCAGAGAATACTCTGTAGAGATGCTCCTGAAACCAGTACTTTTCCAAATAAAACAACTAATGAACAAGACAGTCCTCAAAAGATTCCCAATCATTTAGTTGTAGATTTTTAATCTTTAACAGTTCTAAGTAGTAAATATTCCATAATATATTCATAATGGACTAGAATTTTGCTAGGCTTTTTACTTTCCTAAAGCTGTTTCCTTCAACTTTACTATAACACTACCCCTAAAAGCAATCCAGAGAGAGGAGGAAGAAGAGACAAAACAGAGAAGCAATTTGATCAAAGTCACACACACAAAAAATCAAGATAAGAGTCAGAGATAGTGATTACCTTAGCCCAGTATAGTGTTTTTTCTACTATACAACTATAGTTATTATTTGGTTTAGGAGAAAGCTTTAAATATGCACAGATAATTTTTCCAGTTGCTTTACAGAAGATCTAATAAAGTTGTACTTTGTGAATGAAAACTCCCATTGTATATTGCAGCGTGCATACCTGTGGTTTCATCCGTGGATTCCACCTTATGTAATATCCCACCCAGAGCTCTAGGTGGCGCATGCTGGCTACTGGATAAAGGACATGATTGGAATAGCTCCCATAGAGAGGATTAGTGAAGTCTTCTTGCTGACTATTTATGTAAGACCACAGTGACACAGTCCTTTTAGGAAGATTCTATAAGAAGAAGAAAATAGGTAAAGACTCCACTACATAAGCCATTCATATATTAGACAACATTTGTAAAGAGGTATTTTGTGGTCATTAAAATCTCTTTAGAGAGAATGTTCTTAGAGACTTTAGTGATAAACCCCAATCAGAGGATATTAGAAAACAGTCTGCAGTTCCTCAAAGAGTTAAACATAGTTACCATATGACCCAGCAATCCCACTCCTAGGTTTATATCCAGCAGAACTGAAAACATACGTCTATACAAAATCTTTTTCATAGATAATCAAAGTGCCATTTATTCATAATAGCCAAAAAGTGGAAACAACCCAAAAATCCATCAGCTAATGAATAAAATACTCACATAATAGAATATTACTCAGCCATATAAAAATAATACAACCTCATGAATTCTGAAAACACTAAATGAAAGGAACCCAGACACATAGGTCACATACAGAATGTGTCCATGTATATGAAATGTCCACAAGAGGCAAATCCATAGGGAAAAAAAGATTAGTGTCTTCCAGAGGCTGAGAGGAAGAAAGAATGGGAAGTGACTACTAACAGGTCTTTTGGGGTGATGAAACATTCTGAAACTCAATAATGGTGATGGTCGCACAACTCTGTAGTTATATAAAAACCACTAAACTCTGAACTTTAAAAGTGGATTTTATGGTATGCAAATTATATCAGTAAAAAAAATTTAATCAAAATACAGTGAATCTTTCCAAGGCTCTGAAAAGAGGAAAGTATCTTTGGAACTTAGTTATGCTATTCTTAGTCAACTAACATTGTATAAATTATTAAATGCCTGCTATGCTTGAAAATATTTATTGCATAGACACTAAAGATGAGTGAACTTAAAAAACAATACCTGCCTTCAAGGAAGTCTAGGCACTTACTATGTAGCAGTTCTTGTGGTATTTTGTATGGTTTAATCAATCTTCACAATAAGTATTATTATTCCTATTTTACAGAAGCAGAAATTAACTTGCCCAGAGTTACACAGTAAGTGATAGATCCAAGATTTGAACCCAGCAGCTGGGCTTCAGTGCAGGCACCTTTTCCCACTATGTTTTTATAAAAAGTATAAACTACTTTATAACCACTTTTTTTTAAGAATAAAAGTTGACGCAGAGAGAAACACCAAGATGATAAAGATGTTCATATATAGAATAGATGTATTTTGAGAAAGATAGAAGTAAAACTTGAAATATAATCCTTATACCGTTTCTTCTTAATAATACCAACCCCACTTAACAGTGATCTCTCTGGGGAGTGGGGTAATGAAAAATTTTAACTTTCTATGGAGTATCTTTTCAGTGTTTGAATTTTTTACAGTATTATAATTTAAAAAACCTAAAAAGTTAATCTCAAATGTCTCATATGTATGGAGACTATTATATGGGAATTTGAGCTGCCCATTCACTCAAATGTATGTTTTCTGCTAATTATCTTTTCTGCATCTATTTTGAAAGATTTCCAACCTGCACAGAAAAACTGGTACACTGGTACTCCTATTTCACATACTTCAATTCTCTTTAGTAGAACACTACTTCCTACCCGTAACTCAATGGGCAGCTTGTGACAGAGATATTCTAAAATAGATCAGGTGGAAGGAAGTAATCATATTACAGCATATAAGATAAATTATGACCTCAAGAAGTCACCTAGAAGAACAGTGAAATCTACCACTGAGTGTGTACCTAGAGGGAAAAGTACATAGTAGGGGTAGAAGAGGGAAATTTTACCTCTTTTCCTCTCTGTTGTTCACTGTTACAGAGGAATGTTCCAAATAAACAGCTGTATAGGTGGTCCAAAATGGTAATGAGAAAATATTCATTGAATTCAAATGCGGTAGGAAACTGCAAATTGAACACCACAGACACACAAAAGTAAACATTTTTTTAAGTATATTCATCTTTGTCATGGGTAGATCCTTTGTAATAGTATTTAAAATTAAGTTAAACATAGTACAAAATTATATGATTCCAAGCCATTATGGCATTATCTAAGTCTTCAACAAGTCAGCCTACTGCTCAAGGAACATCTAATCAAACCAGACTCCTTTGTAATCTACTACTTTGGCAGCATCTTTCTAACATAAAGAAAATTCACCCTTTCTTCAAACCTGACTAAGGGCTTAACTGGATATCTTAGTTTTAAACAACACAATTTTGGAGGACTGTGAAATGAAGAACTAGAGACCACAGAAAGTTAAAAGGTTTACTTTAATCCATCCTATTTATTTAACATTTCAACATTATTCGTAAGCTTCTAGGTAAGACTGTACCAATTAGAGGGCTATGTGTGAAAGAAATGCTATGAATATTTGGATTGCAGATTGGGAAAATATACATTGTTTCTGAGTTTTTATTTCCTAGAAAGATCCCTACCTATATAGTGGAGGAAAACTATATAAACAGCATGCAAAAAAGATAGGGATGAAAACAACTTTGCCTTGAAGGTTCTTAAATATTAGGAAGCTATGGGCAGGGTAACATGGGAGATTTCTCAAATATGAGGTTATTGAGTATGAAATGTCCAATTTCCTTAAGTACTACCAGTTGATATCTCTGACATTTCACTTTGACACTTCTGGATTGTATTGTGAAGGTACATTCTCAGTCTTTCAAACATGCAGTTTGGCTTGTGATTATCTTTCAAATTTTTTTTAGAACAATTTTTGTGAAACCATGGATAAGTCAAAAACGTGCTATTTTCAATATGAGTTCTGTTGTGGAACCAATGCTGCACAGACAGCTCGAAATATCAACGAAGTGTTTGGGAAGGATGTGGTTAATAAACACCACCTATGTCAATGGTTTGAGAAGTTCTGTTCTAATGATTTTAATCTTGAAAATGAGTCACTTGGGTGGTGGCCTGAGACCAAGGTGGATAATGATGAGCTAGAAACTGTAGTAGAAGCGAATCCATCTCAACCTACACATTGTAAATTAGCAGCAAGGTTTGATGTTACTATTCCAAGGATATTGGACCATTTGAAACCAACTGGCAAGGTAAAGAAGCTGGATAAGTGGGTTACACATGAATTAAATGAGTGTCAGAAGAGAGATCATCTCGAAGCTTGCCCTTCTCTGTTGTCACTACATAAAGGCGAATCATTTCCACACTGTATTTTTACATGTGGTGAAACATGGATTCTTCTTGACAATTATAAGCATTCGGCACAATGGTTGGATAAAGATGAAGTGCCAAAACAGTCCAAAACCAAATATTCATCAAAAAAAGCTAATGGTGTCTGGTGGTCCAGCACTGGTATTATATACTACAGCTTCATGAAATGTGGTCAATCAGTTATAGTGGATGTCTACTGTAACCAGTTGGATGAAATGATGGGGATGCTTGCAATTAAGCAGCTGAGATTGGTCAATAGAGACAGGCCAATCCCCTTGCAAGACAATGCCTGACCACTTGTTGCACAGACAACTCTGCTCAAAATACTGAGGCTGGACTTGGAAACCCCCTGTCATCTACCGTATTCAACAGACCTTGCACCAACTGACTACCACTTCCTTCCAGGCTTTGAACTACTTCTTGCAAGAAAAAATACTCAGTTCTCAACAAGCTGTGGAAAATGCCTTTCGCGATTTCATCACCACTTGCTCTCCAGGCTTCCTCGCTGCTGACATAAACAAGCTACTGTGAAGATGGCAAAACTGTGTTGACAGTTTAGGCACATACTTTGATTAATTGTACTGCTTCTTGTTTGAGATATAATAAATTACACTTTTGATTTGAAATCAGACATTTCACACTTAATGTCCTAATACTAAAGGGCAATTAGTAGGCCTTGAATAATTTTTGTGGCTGTGAAGCTGAATGAAGCAGGTGATCGAGCATTGCCAACATTCATTCCTTCATTCATTTAAAAAAAAAATCTCATCTCCTGTATTTGTTCACACTATTAACAGCCTTATTATTAGCCAAATATGAGTGCATCCTGAATCCATTAAATAGCAATCCCAAGGATGTAAGCCTGCGATTAGTTTTTCATCTTCTTGGTAAAACTATTAGCTCAATTGTGAGAAGACAGCTTAATCAGTAGGCATTTCCCACAATGAAACTAAAATAGCAGATCATTAACTGCTGCTGTTGCTTTTAAAATCCTAAGAAGAGGAATACTTTGTTTTCTTTATTGTTTAAAATCTGAAGGGCCCTTCAATGACTGCTTCCTGATCCCAGGACTGAGGGGATGGAGATGAGGATGGAAGGAGGGGGAAAGGCATAGAATTTGGCTAGTTACAAGAAGATTGGTCCTATTTTGAGAAATATGCTATGTAAGTCTTTGTACTAGTATTCAATTATTTATAAAACTGATGATTGCTAATAAACATTATGAATAGCTAACATGGTTTATGTTCTAGAAGAAAATATACAGAAAAACATTAACTATAACATGCATAAAATAGAGTTTTAGTAATAGGCTTAAAATTAGGGTTAAAATGTTTTTAGATATATAGCATATAGAGTTAACAGTATTACTGAGGAATAAATGCATTATTTAATATGTACTCTTCTCCCATCCAAAAACTAACTAGGGCCAACCCTGCTTATCTTCCAAGATCAGGTGATATCAGGCATGTTTAGAGTGGTATGGCCATAAGACCATTATGTAGTCTTCTTTGCAAGAGATTGGAAAATGTGACTGAAGAAAAATCTTTTTTTTCCTAACAAACATACCGGAACTATTAGATTCAAACACACTGCCCTGTCGAGGTATTCACACTGGAAAGCAGTACCACACTGAATCGTATACACCTTTTCAGTATGTATGTTAAAATACCAGCCTCATCATATTGCAGTCATATCTACATACAATGCTTCATTTAAGCCAGCAGGTTCAAAATAAACCACAAGTTGAACTGCTTATGAGGGGGAAAAACTATTAAATATATAATTAATATATTTCACCTGAGGATCACCATTCATTTTCTTTTAATAAAGTAGTATCTTATTAAAGCTAAAATACGCTCCTAAATAAAATATGATCCTGAAGCCAAACAGAGCCAGCACCTGCCCTACTTTAAATTCACGTGGAAATCTAAGTAAAAACAATTCAGACTCTAGTCGTTTGAGGTCCAATAAATCCTTGGATGAATAAACAACACCAATAAGCTGCATTCAACTCTTGGGTTTTGAGGTGATTTTTCTTGAGTTAAAATTAAATCATATTTTTAACACAATGATTCCTTCCCTTATTAGTGAAGTGATCTCATAATAAATGTATTTTTTTCAGTCTCCTCTGGTATCTTCCCAAAAAATTAAATCCATTTACATTAATATTTCAAATAAATCTGATTTGTTACAAAGTTGTTAGATCTAAAATATGTAATAGCCCTATCTATGCCTAAAGACAGAAAGAACTGAATCTATGACATACCTACTTTGTTATAATTTCCCTTTAAACACATTTTTCCCTTAAAATAATTAAAATTACTTAATGTAGGATTTTGTTTTGTTTGAGTTACCTAGCTTATTTCTTAACCTCCCTTAGAAAGGTATAGATGAGCTTTTGGGTAACTCTATCGGTGTTTAACACTATTTATTCAAAAGAGCACAAAATAACTTCTAGCGGTTATCAATGCTACTTGTGGAAATGCTAATAAGATCAAATTGTCAAGTGTTTAATACTGCCCCTAAATAATAAGGCTTTAACTTAATTTATAATATGACAATAGTTCTTACCTGGAAACTATTAATATAAGAATTTCCATTTTACACAAACTATAGGATAATAAGTGACCACCTCTCCCAATGCTAACTGGACAGTTTAAAAGAGATAAGAATAAATAATCCCAGATAAGTTACCTGTCTTGTCATTTGCCAGACACAGTCAATAAACTGAAGAAAAACAGGTGATCTGTCTGCATCTGCATGGTTCTTATCTCCGTGGCCAACTCTCTGAGGCAAAGACAGTGAAATATTATATGAGCTTTGTGGGATTTTTCAGTTTTTAATGGAAATAATTTTTCAATAAAAATAATTGGTCAATATTCTACAAACTTTCAGAAAATTTTTTTATAGAGCTTACAAGGGAAGTAGAAATCACCCATAATCCTATCAAGCAGAAACCTCTATTAACATTTTGATGTACAAACTACCAGATTTTTTCTCACATGAGATGAGTATAGTAGGGCTTATCACTTTGTTTAATAAATGAAACTCAGATCTTAAAAGGTTGCTAATGGAAGATAGGAGCAGTCAATCTCAGCCCAGATTTTTATCCTGGAGATTTAATTTCCCTCTGGTAAATAATAGTTACTTATACACTGGCCTTGGAAAGCATACTTCTCTGTTAATACTTTGTTTAGCGAGTGAAAGGTATGCCATCCCATTTAGCTCTAAATATGTCTTCATTAGGAGGAGCAACATTAGCACAAATCTTAGAGAACCTTTCAAAAATGCTGGACATTTGCCCTCCAAGCATGCAGTCACCCAAGCAGTTTCTCAGTTCTTTTCTCCACTGAGGACCTTTGACCCAGATGACTGAAACACAACCCTGCTGCTTACCCCAAAGCAGGGATTATAAATATGTGGTCACAGTGTGGTTCCAGGGGCTGTCAGATCAAAAGTATTTTCATAAGATTTTCAGAAGATATTAGCCTTTTACAGTATGTTGGCATTTGCACTAATGGTGCAGAAGTGATGAAGGATAAAACTTCTGGTGCCTTAGTAGGACTCAAGCAAGGCAATGGTATCAAACTGCTCTAGTAGTTATTCTGCCCTGCCAGACACATGCAGTTACATGAAAGAAAAAGTCAATGTCGCTTATGCCAGTGTGCTTGATGAAGCACTTCAAAACATTTTATTAAATTAAATCTCACTCCCCTAGTAGCTATTTTTAATATCCTCTGTGATAAAATAGGAAATATGCAATAATGTGTTTCTGCTGCATATTGACATAGGATTGTAGGAAATACTACTTTTTCATGGAATATCATTTTTACTGAAAAGAACAATTGATATATGAACTATGGCTAATAAGACTTGTATACATTTTTTTGAAAATGTACAAAGTGGATATATTATCTTAAGGAAAACAACTGATGGTATTTGTTTTCGATCATAAGACTCAAGCTTTTGGGTGGGTAAAAATTCCATTTTTGGAATTTTACCCAACACAATGAGCTTGACAATACTTGAAGATTTTCCTGGTAAAAATCGGTGATTAAATGTGATCTTATAATATTATATAGTGAAATATATTAACATTTAGAAGATCTACATAACTCAGTAAGCTGATACTTTCCAAATAACCAAATACATGATGTTGCACAATCAATCATGCATAGGTAAAAGATCTATTCAATGTGCAAGAGAAACCAATGAAATTTAGTGAAATAAACAAAAAGCTCATAGATTTGATTTTGGATTCCATATTAACTCTAATCTATAAGAAACTACTATTTGTCAAGTTTTGGCATAGTATCAAAGAAGAATATCCACAGTTCCCTGAAAAAGCTATTAAAATATTTTGTTTTTCCACTTAAATATCTGTGTGTGGTCAGATTTTCCTCATATACTTAAAACAACAGAACATGTCTAAAAGACTGAATGAAAAAGTGGATATATATTCACCTATCACTAAGCCAACTCATTAAAGAAATTTGCAAAAAATGTAAAAACAATGCCAATCATCTCACTAATCCTTATTTTGTTTTAGAAAATATAATTATTTTTCATTAGAATATTTATAATAGATTTATTATTTTCTCAAATTAAAAAATATTCTTTAAATATAATTTCTAATGTGGTAAATACTGATAGATAAAATTCATATAAACAAAGCTCTTTAGAGTCATCATTAATTGTTAACAGTGTAAGGGAGTCCTGAAACCAAAAACTTTGAGAATCATTACTCTGTGTTAACCATGTGAGCATAACCTCTTGACTAGATGTCCTTTAATTGTCAAAATTCTGCTTTCAGAATACAACTAGGGAAAAAAATGGAATAGGTAACCAGAGTTAGTAGTTTTGGGATCCATAGCAATTTCAAACAGCCCAAAACATGTATGATTTTGAACATATTTATATGAACATATGTAGCTTTGGCTGTCTGAAGTTTCATTCTTTGAAGAAAGTTTGTTTTAAATGGTCTTTTTGTGACAAGTACATAATATAGAGAACTGAAAAATGTGAGTCATCTAAATAGATACCAATTTATTTAATAGTTCAAATTCAAAAGAGGAGACTAACTTTAGATGTCTGTTCCTTTCATGTTACAGTTGACCCTTGAACAACACAGTTTTAACTGCACGTGACCACTTATATGTGGATTTTTTTTTTATTTTAGCGTATTATGGGGGTACAAGTGTTAAGGTTACATATATTTATTGCCCATGCCCCCCTACCCCCTCGAGTCAGAGCTTCAAGTGTGTCCATCCCCCAAACATTGCACATCTTACTCATTGTGTTTGTATATACCCATTCCTTCCTCCCCCCTCCTACCTGCTCAACACCCAATAAATATTATTCCTATATGTCCACTTAGGTGTTGATCTGTTAATACCAATTTGCTGGTGAGTACATGTGGTGCTTGTTTTTCCATTCTTGAGATACCACTTAGTAGAATGGGTTCCAGCTCTATCCAGGAATATACAAGATGTGCTATATCACCATTGTTTCTTAAAGCTAAATAGTACTCCATGGTATACATATACCACATTTTATTAATCCACTCATGAATTGGTGGGCACTTGGGTTGTTTCTACATCTTTGCAATTGTGAATTGTGCTGCTACAAACATTCGAGTGCAGGTATCTTTTTCATAAAGTGACTTTTGATCTTTTGGGTAGATGCCCAGTAGTGGAACTGCTAGATCAAATAGATCTACTTGTATTGCTTTGAGGTATCTCCATATTGCTTTCCACACAGGTTGAACTAGTTTGCAGTCCCACCAGCAGTGTAGGAGTGTTCCTATCTCTCCGCATCCATGCCAGCATTTATTGTGATAAAGTCCATTCTCACTGGAGTTAAGTGATATCTCATTGTGGTTTTGATTTGGATTTCCCTGATGATTAGAGATGTTGAGCATTTTTTCATATGTTTGTTGGCCATTACTCACTGGGGGAAAGAATCCTTATTCAATAAATGGTGCTGGAAAAACCGGATAGCCACATGTAGAAGACTGAAACAAGACACACACCTTTCACCTCTCACAAAAATCAACCACGCTAGGTAATAGACTTGAACCTCAGGTGTGAAACTATTAGAATCCTAGAGGAAAATGTTGGAAATACTCTTCTAGACATCGATATAGGCAAAGAATTTATGAAGAAGACCCCAAAGGCAATCACAGCAGCAACAAAAATAAACAAATGGGACCTGATCAAATTAAAAAGCTTCTCCACAGCCAAAGAAACTATCAAGAGAGCAAACAGACAACCCACAGAATGGGAAAAAATTTTCGCAAGCTACACATCTGATAAAGGGCTGATAACTAGAATCTATTTAAAACTCAGGAAAATCAGCCAAAAAAAATCAAACAACCTCATCAAAAAATGGACAAAGGACATGAACAGAAACTTTTCAAAAGAAGACAGAATAATGGAGTTTTTTCAATCAAATGCAGGATGCAGAAACCCGTGTGTACAGAGGGCTGACTTGCCTATAGGCAGGTTCCTCAGGACACATGGGACTTTAGTAAGTGCATACTTTGGTATATACACAGAGGGTCCTGGAACCAATCACCTGCATATACCAAAGGATGACTGTATTTATAAACACTGCTAGTGTGCTCTGGTAACTATTGGATACTAAAGGTTAACACTAGGGACAGCATCTGGGCAAACACCTTTCAGAAAGTCTTTCAACTAACCTAGGAAAATGTCTGCACAGAATCCAAACTCTCAGTGGCTTCGAGGCCTCCATCTGGCTCCCCTCTATGTGATTCTCCAAATTGTCCCCTCCCCTTCAACTCTACTCTTGCCACGTTCATTGCTCCTTGGCAACCAGACAATTTGCTCCCCCATTTCTCCTTGCTGGGAAATTATTCCTACTCCTTACTTTAAATTATATGATTATAACATATGGACAACAGATGAGAAGACCAAGGCCCACAAGGTCACTGTTCCCGAGTTTTCTGATTCTCAATTTAGTGTTAGCAGAAGCACAGCTGAAAACCACTTGAATGTTTAATTAAACACTCCATGAAGCCAAAGTATGACATAATCAGACAGCACAGGCAAAAGTGTAGTATCTTTTAAAAGGGACATAATATCCCCATTCCTCTAAGGAACTGCGATTAGGTCTGGGCACAACGCTTGCAGAAAGTCATGAACAAAGTCTAGAGGACAACTGGAATGGTGAGATTAGGATGAGAAAAGAATGAAGAATAAGGATGTTCAATTTGAAGAACTGAACCTTACAGGTGACTTGGGTAGTCAGCTACTTTCAAATAGTTGAAGGGCTTTCTGATTTGAATAAGGAGTCATATTTGTTCTTCATGTTTACAAAGGAAGAGAATGTGGTACAATGGGAAGGAAATATCAGTTCACTATGAGGAAGATTTCTAGTAGGTAGACTTTCTACAGTGAGACTGGATAGCGTCAGGAAGGGATGTGTTGCTTATTTATGGAGGAGATAATGGAGAAAGTAAACCATCCTTTGATAGGGGCACCACAGAAGACATTCAAGTAACAATGAATGCCTAGATTCTTAGGTCCTTCCAATTCTGAAATTTGGTAACATCAAAATAAATTTTGAACCATACAGAGGACTCAAAAATTTGTCATTTGCATAAAACTATCCGCAACACTTACCATACATATGGTCATTTTAGTTTCAATTCCTTAAGAAGCATAATAGAAAAGCTATGTTTTATTCCCAACTCTGAACTAAACTTTTATTTTCACTCTATTTTTCTTTTACTCCCATCCTGATTTATTTTTTAGATCTTGATTCTTTGTGAGCACTGATACTTTATATTGTTACATTAGGAATAATAATTAAGCCATTCTTGTCTTTTTGTAAGTCCACAGGAAAAGCTAGAAGTGCCTTATGATTCCATAGCCATCATACTAATCTTGAACTGTCATTTGGAGGTAGAAACACCTATAGACATCACTGAATGCTATCTGATATTTCCTGGTAGACAGCACAGAAGAGACTGGGTCAGATGCCTGAAAAATAGCTAGCTCTGGCTGCAGACAGACTACAAAGTCACATTAGGGTATCCTAATGCTTTCTAAAACAAAGTTCTCATGAGAAGTTTACCCCTCTAGATAAATGATCAAGTTCAGATAAATTACCTTATGAAAGAAAAAGGCATTCTCACATCCTTTGCATAAAATGCATGTGACATATTAAGAGTCAAGGTTATTTACTCACTAGTTGAAATCGATGTCCAAAACTTAACCATTCTTTCTCCACAAGGACTTCAAATCCTCGGAGAGTTCGATAGTATCCATCCAACATGAGCATGGCAAGGGAAGTTAGCTGAGCTGTGCGATCCCAACCATCACTGCAATGTACTACCACCGATGTCTTTCCTGACTCTACCTTGTCAGCAATCCTAAGAGCCCCTGCAAGAATAAGCTGGAAAACAGATTTTTTTTCAATGAAATTTTTTAAAAAATTAAATATTCCCTTACAAAATTTATCACTATACTTTTGTTAGGGATGACTGTCTCAATAACATGGGGAGAAAAAAACATTTGTCCCTTCCTAAAAATTTTTGTAAAAGGTAGAAGATATATACCATTTTGTTTTCAAAACTAGATAGATTTCATAAATGCTGAGTCCTATTAATTTACACCATGAAATATCCAAATGAAAGGTACCTTTGGGTGCTAACCAAATCAGTAGTGTAAGATTTCTGTTAGAAGAATTATGTTCTAAAGAGATCTGCTTTTAAGAATCATCAATTATTCCATCATCTATTTAAATAAAAATAATTGATAAGGCAACTGAAACCTTATCTTTCTATTATTTAAAACAATGCTTACCTAACCAAATTAGAATAAATCTCTGAAAGAAATAAAACTGGATCTCTCTTAAAATATTGTATAGCATTTATTTTATTGTTTTCACTGAAGATTTGTATACGTCACATAGCACACAGCAAGTACAATGTAAACTTTAGGGTAAGCTACTTTAACAGTATGCATGAAAATTCTCATCAGAATAATATTAGCATGTCAATTTCACAGGTATCTCAAATAACTTAAGCTCTTATTTTTTTAATATGCAGAAACCTTTTGTGAAATAACTTACCTTTTCTGAAATTGATCTTGAGTAAAAACTAAACAGAATCATATATAACCAAAAAAGAAACAGAAAAGTATAATATTTTTAAAGATGGACAGCATAGCCCCACTCTTCTCTGCAATGGTCATATCCTAATATTGTACTTAAAGAACAGTATAGTTCCACACAAATAGATGAGAATGAAATAAAGTAGATTTACTAGGCTAATCTAGTGAAATCTAATGAAATCATAAGATTTCATTAGAAACCTCATGATAACCCCTCTTTGATCATAACTGTTGGTATATTTCAGAAATGGGGTACTCTGAAGCAATCTCAACCTTGACTATGTATCAGGGTCATTTCCAAGCATTAAAGTACCGGGACTCATTCTGCCATTCCCCAATGATCCTCATTGATTTTAAGTAAGTTCCACCCATAATTCAAATGCATATACAGACATAAGAATCACTAACCCAAAGGCTAACTTAAGACTGATCAGAAAGAGATATCCAAAGCAGTAATCTTCATTCATTCACTATATAAGCATTTATGGAGTCCCTTACTATGTATGGCACGGACACTGCTCTGGTGCTGTTAATATTAGAGTAGTGAACAGAACACAGGACTTGCTTAATGAAGTTTACATTCTACTTGAGCAAGGCTAGCTAGATACAAATAATATACAAGGAAATATAAGGCATATCTGATGGCAGTAAGTGAAAAAGCTCCATAAGGGGTATAGGGATTACTGGTAGAACTGTTATTTTGTATGGAGTGGTTGCAAAAGACCTCTCTGAGGAGGTGATATTTGAGCAGAGATCTGAAGAGAGTGAGTGTATAAACTTTGTGGATATGATAAGGACTTGGGGAGGGAAACTAATCCAGCCAAATTGCATGTCATACCTCTAGGGAAACATGTTTTTGTTACTGTTAGCATTTTGGAGAGAATGTTATACCGGCTAGTGAAATTGGCTACTTAGTTTTCAGAAGCAAACAGCAATTTATGTTAGTTCCAAATCAAGTCCTATGGCTTTACATTTGCACACCGTACAATTTAATAAATGGGCCACATAAACATACTCTCTGAGTAGTGTTTATTCTTTGCTATATTCAAACATCTAAGCTTTTAGAAGAAAAACGCTAAAAATGGTCTATAATTCTTATTGGCCTTCTCTTCAATTTTGTCTAAATTTTAGAGATTTTAATGTGAGCATAAGTCTCCTCCTTCTTAACATGAAAGATCATATTTCCCTTTACTTCATAATATATAAATATATGTAGTTATATAAGTCTATATTTTGATAGGTTATGTTAATGAAATTCAGACCATATCTGAAATGTATATAAATATTAACTAAAATAATAGATGATGCTACAAGTATTAAATTAGCATGTTAGGTAAATTAGCATTGACATAGTGCTCTCCAAATGATTTAGCACTCTAATGGTGTCCTTCATTCAACTACTCTACCTAATTTCCCTAATCAGGATGGTTTTACCTTCACAAATCATGCAACAAAGTGTTTATTGAGTACCTATTCACACAGATAGTGCTGAACTAACTTCTGAGAGGACAAAAAGAAATATGATTTATCCAGTCCTGGTCTCCACGAGTTAGCAATATACAATTGTTGACACACAAAAGCAAATAAATGAAAGGGGAGTACCTGATTAAATGGAAAGAGAAAGTAAAGAGTTGAGAGCAAATGGAAATAGATATGATCTGAGTAGACATTATAAAAGAAATATGAATTAGGATCTGAAGGATGGATAGAATTCAGATAGGATGGGACAATTCATATTGTCCTATATGTATAATATATGAAACTAATTCATTCAAACATCAAAATTTAGAAATAATTCTAATTATCAAAGCATTTATCTATTTTCACTGTTTAAAAGGTACCTTCATGATGATTTCCATTGTAAGAAAAGAGCTAATATTGACAAAGGAGTAGACAGTCTTTGTTTGGGAAACAGTAACATATACCCACCTTAATATGTTCTAGCCAGTGAGTAGATTCCAAGTTAGACAACCAGTGACTTTCCTCAATGTTGGGGTATACAATCTCCTTAAGTTTTCGTAATGATTCTCTCATCACATGAATATTATGGATATCCAGAAAAACTAGTTCTGCATTCTGATATGCATCTTCACTTTCATAACCTCCACCCTTTGCCTGGAAAAAGGCACACATCATGGTAAGTCATATATGAATACACATCCATTATATGTGGACATCCATTAAAAGGTGTCATAAAATATCCAATAGCATAAAAGATGCTACATATTACTGGTGACTAGGAAAACACCATGGGAAAATATGGATGGCTGAGCGTGACATTGCACAACCACTCTCTACCTCATGCTTTCCATTATAAAACAGGAATGTACACTCACCCTGACTTTCTTATGTGACTGTTATAAAAATTAAACATGAAACATATATGAAAGTATTTAAACATTTTAAAGCACTAAATTTTTCCTGACCATATTTCAAATCCTACCCAAACGTAATTTCTTACAGAAGACTTCCCTTCATATTTATGAAAATGACTAGACTGTAATTTCCATGTGCAAGGACCATGTATCTGGTTCACTTATGCTTTTTTACCAGGCTGCCTCTTCACCTCATTTTAATCTCAATATTTGCAAAATAAATCTTTGCAATCATAATGACTTGCTTCTAGTTTAAACCACATGATTCTTTTTAAATAAAAAGACAGAACAAAATAAAGCACAGAACGCTATTGTCATCCCTATTCTCAAAGATTTAAATCTATATCTTCAGAACAGAATGAGAAATATTTGGTATTCAAAATAAGCTATATGGCTAGAAAGGAGAACCTAATTTTTCTGGACTTAATTTTTTTATATTTTATGAACCAAATATTCTCTAATCTCCTACCTAACTCATGTATAAAATCACACCTCTGGCCGGGCGCGGTGGCTCACGCCTGTAATCCTAACTCTCTGGGAGGCCGAGGCCGGCGGATTGCTCGAGGTCGGGAGTTTGAAACCAGCCCGAGCAAGAGCGAGACCCCGTCTCTACCATAAATAGAAAGAAACTAATTGGCCAACTAATATATATAGAAAAAAGTAGCCGGGCATGGTGGCACATGCCTGTAGTCCCAGCTACTTGGGAGGCTGAGGCAGAAGGATCACTTGAGCCCAGGAGTTTGAGGTTGCTGTGAGCTAGGCTGACTCCACGGCACTCACTCTAGCCTAGGCAACAAAGCGAGACTCTGCCTCAAAAAAAAAAAAAAAAAACACACCTCTTAGAGCCCTAATAGGAACAAATTAGGAAAATCCTGGACTAGCAAATGTAGTTATGTAAAATTAAGTGATCATATGACCCATATCTTTGAAAACAACAAAACTCACAAACTCATAACCAATAACAGACTGCTAACAGAACAGAAGTTCTCTCCTGACACTGAGGGTCTGGGAAATAGTTTGGATTCACACCAGGCAGTTATAAAATTAACAGGGTTGCAGTGGATCCCTGCTAACAAGGATTACTTCTGAAGAATGGAAATAGGACAGGTCAGGGGTGGAGGGACTTTCAATTCAAATTTGTTGCAACAAATGCTAGAAAGATATCAGTGGTAGCAAATACACGGAACCCATCACGGAAACACACAGGATGAAAATGCTCTGGAATCAGGTAGTGGTGATGGTTGTATGACTTTGCGAACAGACTAAAAACACTGAAATGCACACTTTAAAAGAGTGCATTTTATGGTGAATGGATTGTATATCCATACAGGTGATTTTTTTTTTTAAAGGCAACCAGACAGTAAACCCCAAAACATGCAAAAAACATTTGAAACAAGTAAGAAAGTTTTCCATCAAACCCCAAAATACCAGCAGGTGGGGCAAACCACCAACAGCTACAAGATCTGCCTGCCATTAGTGCATGGGAAAAAGCAGAAGAAAGCGTTCAGGACATATTACAGATCCAAGAATAGGAGAACACCAAGAGTCTTTTGATTTTTAGTATTTGCTCTGCTTCTGTGCTTGGCCTTCTTCTAGAACTACAGGAAAGCACAGGAGACCACTCTAAGAAGTGCAGCTGAAACTGGGAGGGGTTCTGTCCATTCTAACAGTTGATGAGTATAAAAGGTGGCCTACAGCAGATGCAAAGGAGCCAAAGCAGTCTAACCCTTACAAACTCTCCTAACTGACTAACCAGGGATCTCTTCTAAGTGCAGGATCAAAATTGAGCAGGACAGAGGCAACAGAGACAACACAAGAGAAGGTCCAGATAAAGAATGTACGTGGGCAGGGATGGGGTGATGGGGTGGGGTTAGGGTAAGTGGTGGTGGCTGTGGGTAGGGATGAGGTAGGGTTAGGCTTAGCATAGGTATAGGTGTTGTGCAGGGTACAAGAGAGGATGGAGCCAGGAAATATGAGAAGGTAAGCTCTAGTATATTTTAATATTACATAAAAACAACAAAAGAGGAAGCTCAGTGATTAGCTCTTATAATTTCTGAGTACACCTAACTTTTGTGCCACGTTTCTAATTAAACCATCCTGTTAAAAGATCAAGAAACTAATTTCACCTAAAAATGAGTAACAGAAGATCAAGGTCAAATCCCATATAAGCTATCCTAAAATATAAGAAAATGAGCATTTATAAGATCCCTACAGGCAGTGCCCCTCAAAACTGAAGCCTTCTATCTTCAAGCAAGCTAAAGATAATTTAAAATAAGATCAGGTCCAGTGCAGTGGCTCAACCTGTAATCCTAACACGTGGCAGTCCAAGACGAGAGGATCACCTGAGGTCAGGATTCCAAGATCAGTTTGGGTGAGACCTCAGCTCTACAAAAAATAGGAAAATCAGCGGGGTGTTGTGTCACACGCCTATAGTCACAGCTACTCAGGAGGCTGAGGCAGGAGGATCACCTGAGCCCAGGAGTTTGGGATTCCAGTGAACTATGATGATGCCACTGCACTCTAGCCAGGGCGACAAAGTAGCCTCTGTCATTCATTCATTCATTAAATAAAGTAAAATAAAATCAGGTATGAAAACCGACATAAATTAGAATTAAACTCAGAATTGAAGGGATAGAATTGGAGAAAAATTAAAAGAAAAAGATCATTTCAGAAATGAAGACTAAAGTAAAAGAAACACTACAGCAAATAAATACAATAGATAATAAATTAAAAGAAACAGATGCTGTAAAGTCTTAAAAACCAAAAAGACAATATAAAGACATAAAAAGGATTTAAGAGAAAGTGACAAATGACAATATAGGTAAGAAAGAACCAAAGGAATGCCTGAAGAAGGAAGCCAAAACAAGGAAACAGAATATTAAGAACTATAATTAAAGGATATACTCATGAAATCTTTTTTAAAAATTGAAAATTATTAATACAAATTGAAATGCATACCTGAGAATACAGACCTAGAACACCTAACATGAAGACATACTCTGGCAAAATAACTGCACTGAAAAAAGAAAACCCTTTGGATATTCAGGCAAAAGGAGTAACTTAGAAGGAAAAGAAAATATTTAGTTTATCATCAAAGTTTTTGACACTTTATGCCAAAACAAAATGATGTATTCAAGGTACTCAAGAAAATCAAATATGAGCCAAGGACTTTATATCCAGTGAAAATGACTTTCAAATATAAAGGACATAAGCTTCTGTGTCCTTCTTTTCTCTCTCTCTCTCTCTTTTTTTTTTACTTAACTGAAGGCTATGAATTCATATCCCATTCTGTGTCCTTTATACAGTACACAAGTACTTTGGAGAATGTTGTTCCCATGAACCCTTCCTGAAATATTTACTACAGAACAACTTTAGACCAAAAAAAAAAAAAAAAAAAAAAATGACTAGAAGGACGTCCATATAAGAATTGACTGCATTGGTTGTGAGCACAAAATATATAGCTACTTGTAGAAGAGGTAGAAGAAAGAGAATGTGTATAAAAGGGAGAATATCTAAAAGCTATATACTCTGACAATGCAGAGATAATACAAAGAATCTTTAAGATGGGGGGAAATGAAGAGAGCAAATGCAAAACATAACATTTAACTTTTAGTAATCATACTGGTGATGGTGGTGGGAATATTGTTATTTCAGACTGTGGTGGGATCAAGCAAATGGCTAATTAAGGGACATACTAATTTCATCATGACCTGTGTCCTGAAGAACCAGTAATGCTAGAGGGGAAGAAAGGAGACACTATGAACTCATGGGACACATTTTTTTTCTCTCTTATGAGACAGGGTCATGCTTTGTAACCCAGGATGGAGTATAGTGGCATGATCATACCTCACTGCAGCCTGGAATTCCTAGGGTCAAGAAATCTCCTGGCCTCAGCCTCCTGAGTAGCTGGGATCATAGGCGTGAGCCACCATGCCCAGCTATCTTTAAAAATATGTAAATATTTCCTAACTGTCCACTGAAAAGACCTAGTAACAGAACCATCCCAGTAGCAAATGAACATCCTTAGCACTCAGATTATGGTTTGAAACACCATTTCCTATTAGTAGAAACCAGAACTTCACAGATAAATGGCTATTCCAGTCTAGGAAATCTTATACATTTCCTAATGTATCTTGTACATCCTGTCACACCAGACAGCAAAGAATACTATGGTTATGTCAAAAGAACTCAGGAGACAACCTGAAACGACTTCCTCTGAACAAAGATGAGATAATTTTTAACATTAAAAAAAAAGGCTGGGCGCGGTGGCTCACGCCTGTAATCCTAGCACTCTGGGAGGCCGAGGCGGTGGATTGCTCGAGGTCAGGAGTTCAAAACCAGCCTGAGCAAGAGCGAGACCCCGTCTCTACTATAAATAGAAAGAAATTAATTGGCCAACTAATACATATAGAAAAAATTAGCCAGGCATGGTGGCGCATGCCTGTAGTATCAGCTACTTGGGAGGCTGAGGCAGCAGGATTGCTTGAGCCCAGGAGTTTGAGGTTGCTGTGAGCTAGGCTGACGCCATGGCACTCACTCTAGCCTGGGCAACAAAGTGAGACTCTGTCTCAAAAAATGTTATGGATTAGGAAATGTCAATTACATTTAAATGTTCATAATGCTACTTAAAAAAAATCAGTTACTCTAAGAGATGATAGAAAATAAACTTATTATTTGGAAAACTGGTAAATAAGGAGAAAGAATCAAGCCCTTCTGTCTTTCTTATATGAATTGAACTGCTGGTTATTCAAAATATAGACAGATAAGAAAAAGTACCTCTTTATAGAAAGAATTCAACTAATTAGCTAAAAAAGAAATCATGAAATTGGAGTACCATCATTTTGTAACTCCCAATGAATTAACATGCGTAGGCACCGAGTATCAATAGCTGCTAACGTGCCACAAAGGAGAATCAACCTTGAATTGTATGTACCACCTACAGCCTTGGCAAAGGGATTGAACTGAATAAACCTCTGGATTCATCTGAAGGAAATTTAGGACAGAAGAAAGTTGAACCATACCATGATGCAATCAGCAAAATCCAAACTATGAGAACTCTACAGATAAAATATAAGAAAAAGAAAAAGATGGGCAAGGAGAGGACTATAAATCAAGAGAGACTTAAAAGGCACATCAAGTATAATATTTTAAAAGGTAAGACTAAAGTATAGTCTAGGGAGGTACATTTTGGTAATAAAAGTATTAAAAAATGCAAGGAAATGATTACTATAAAAAAACCGTGGTTACTTTTGGCAGGGGTAGAAGGTGAAATTGATCAGGGTGAGGACTTAGTGGCTAGCAAAGCTTTAATTCTCAACATGAGTCATGGCTGCAAGAGCATTTGTCATACAATAATTCATTAAGCTATTTAAAAATGTTCCTACTACGCAGATAAAAAAAATTGTAGCAACAATGACATAGGCTTTTGCATATTAAAAAAAGAGGGGACTGCCATAGTGAGGTATGTGTGGGAATAACTAAAAAAGAAGAGGAATCTAACATGTTACCCTACCACCTTTTCTGCCTTATATTCTCTCTCCCTTCCCTCTCATCCCAGAAAATAATCCTAAATCTCATTCCTGCTAATTCACGATAGAAAGTTTAAGGGGGGAAACAAGTAATTACCAGAAGAATATATGCCAGTCCCTGGGTATATATGGGTATGCCATAATGGGTATGCCAGTCACATACCCATTATCTCCTTTTTTCTTTATGTCCCATAACTGATGTATTAACTGATAACTGTTTAGGGTGCTATGTACCTCCCCTGTCTCCCTTAAGAGTAAATATTTACAGTTTACTAGAAAATGCCTAGATCACACAATGCCCTGAAAACGCTAAGCAGGATGGAAATAATTAGGTACATCTTCCACAATTTAAAAGGATGGCCGGGCACTGTGGCTCACGCCTATAATCCTAGCACTCTGGGAGGCCAAGGCGGGCGGATTGCTCGAGATAAGGAGTTCAAAACCAGCCTGAGCAAGAGGGAGACCCCGTCTCTACTATAAATAGAAAGAAATTAATTGGCCAACTAAGATATATATAGAAAAAAATTAGCCGGGCATGGTGGAGCATGCCTGTAGTCCCAGTTACTCGGGAGGCTGAGGCAGAAGGATTGCTTGAGCCCAGGAGTTTGAGGTTGCTGTGAGCTAGGCGGATGCCACAGCACTCACTCTAGCCTATGCAACAAAGCGAGACTCTGTCTCAAAAAAAAAGGACGATCATCCAAGCATTGTTTATGATAACAAAACAAAACACACACACACACAACCTAAATATCCAGCAACAATTGATGTAGTTACTATACCATTCAAATGTTACAGATGAATGTTTACTGGCATATGAAATAATAGTGTCAATTTTTATAAAAGGAAGTTACAGTTATCCAATTTTGTTTCAAATATGTGTGCATGCACATACACATAGGTTTGGAAGTATTACCAAGGTTTAACAGTATTTCTCTCGTAGTTACAAGGGTTTGGATGTTTTAAAATATTTTCTTCTTTTTGCTTATATGTGTTAATTTTTTATAAAACATATACATTACTTATTGGATTTTTAAAAATAGGTAATTTCTTAAAGCTAAATTGTATCTCTTCTCTCCTTCATTTCTCTATGGTCACCTGAAGCAGCATTTCTATTTCTACAATACTAATCCTATAAGAGAAATCAGGAATACTGCTATAGCTAACAGCAAGTTCTTCAGCCTGAATAACTTGTTCAGGTGGAGAGCAGTGAGAAGAGGGCACCACTTGTCACTGAGAACACTGTTTCACTATTCCTACAGCAGTTCTATACAGGGACATCCATCAGTCATAAGCTCAGTTAGTTGTTACATTTGGAGAAGGGAGAAAGAATCTAAGGAAAACTGAACACCTAGTTATTATATAAGTAAGGACAGGGTTATGCACTATTTTTATTAAATGATTGTCCTCCTAAAACAACTGTTGGCTATTATTATTCTCATCTTACCAATGAGCAAACTGAGGTCTAAAATGATTAAATAACTTAAAATTCACACCATCAAGTAGAAGAGCCAAGACTAGAACTTTCCCACCTTAGAGCCTGAGCTTTTTACTACACAGTGGCCTCTGCCAAACTCAGCTGACTCATGAAACTATAATTATAATCTTAATTACTGAAAGATGGTCTTACCTTATTGGCAACAGCATTAACACTTGGCCGGGCATCAAATATAAAGATTTTGTGAGATTGGGCATTGGAATCCATGATGGCTTGAAGGTATTTTTCATCTTCTTTGCTTCGCTTTCCACTCACTCCGACCATGGGCTGGCTACATCGAGTGATTGTGGCTTGACTTTCAGGATGAATCCATGATAAAACCTTAATGAGGGAAAAAATGGAAATACATCTTTATACGCTTCTCTGTTTATAATTCTTTTCAAAAACAGTACTTGATAAAGCTCTGTTTTATTATTGGATTCAAAGCCTGGCCATAAAAGAATACCTGAGGCTGTAAGGAAAACTCATCATTTTTCTTTCAAGCCAACTCTGGCATATGGAAAATTTGGTCTAATTCTTTAGTCAGACATTAATTTAGGAAAGTCACTGATTATTGAGAAGTGCTGTCTCTAGGAAAAAATACATTAAAACAGGGCTAAGGAAACCCCACTTACTGTATCAGTAAAACTGTTCAACTCTTTAGAATCTATGAGTTTTGTACCTAAAATTATTTGAGCTGATCTCTCTAGAATCCAGTTATTCATCATAAATTTGTAAAGTTTTCTTCTTTCTTTGGACTTAAAGGAAAAGAACATGGTTAAGAAATGTACACTAAAAGAAATCAACAGTGAATAACGTACAGGGCAAATGTTTCCCAGTGAAGAACCACGCAATTCTTTGCAGTTACCTAATGCCCATGCCAGAGTCTCCAGAAACCTCTTTAATCTAAGTCTTTCCTCCAGTTTTAATTTTACTCAATAAGTCAAACTCCAATATCCCCATAAAAGACCTGCTACTGTAGCTATTTTTATCCTGAATCCATTCTCCCATTCATTAATCTCAGCATTAGGTAGAGTATAAAAGCATTTGTAAAGTTTCATCAAAGCGTCATACTTACTGGGATACGACCCCTTGATCTGAAGGACGCCACTCTCTTTAATTCTTCATCAGGAATATTTGCTGGCACAACCAGGAGGGCAGGGTATGTGTCACTAAGTTCATACCGTTCGTTTATCTTTGTTACTCTCCAGCTTTCATTCGGGATTCCCTACATGTGAAATAAAAGATGAGACAAATTATTATCTAACTAAAACATTAAAAGACACCAGGACAGAAGCTATCCTATGCAACCTCTGTTATCTCCATTATATTAATATATCTCTTAAAGCAGGCGTCCTCAAACTACGGCCCGCAGGCCACATACTGGCCACCTAGCATATTTATCCAGCCCTCCAGGTGTTTTTGCCACCACTGCCTGTCCTGCTTAGCAGCCGACTCTCGTCCCAGGCCCACAGTGCGCACTCTCCAACGGTCTGAGGGACAGTGAACTGGCCCCGTTTAAAAAGTTTGAGGACCTCTGTCTTAAAGTGTTGGCATTGTTATTGTCTGCCTGTTGTAGCCAGGATTGTAGGATTAGACATTCTAAGGCTGGAATATGGGTTCATTTTAGCACCCAATTTTATGTTAATAGATTTATTAATACATTAAATATTGAGTGTGGGTCTATGCTAAACATATCCAGGGGAAAGAAGGAAACAATAAGACTGCAAATGTTCCCTGTCTTTCAGAGAACACAGTCTCATTCAGTTTGATTAATTTTGCTGCCATTCATCTATACAAAGAAATTTCAGAGGGCAGGCACCAAGTGTCCACAGAATGCTAGATACATAGTTATCTCTTACATACCTAAAGTGAATTTTTCACTCCAGCACTGCAGTACTAATGGGATGTTGCTAAACTAAAACATATCATAAAAGCAAGGGAGTAATGGAAGGCAAAGTGGAGACAGACAACAGGCAAGAGAAAGACTTAACTTTTTAAAAATATATCAGTTATGAAGCTCTCAGATAGTACTTCAATATCTGCTATTTTATTAATGTACTACTTCACATAGGTAGAGAATTAAAGAAAATTGAAATTTTCCATCCTCCGTTGTATAGAAAATGAAGCCATACATTAAATGGTTGGACTTAAGAAAATCTATTTTCAATATCATGATCCCTGAAAACTCATATCATCATAGGCACTCTGCCAGCCTCTTGACACACACAAACATATACATATTTTTGTATTCAGGGGTTTTTGGGGGGGGGGTATTTTTTTGAGACAGGGTCTCGCTCTGTTGACCAGCCTAGAATGCAGTGGCATCATCATAGCTCACTGTAACCTCCAACTCCTGGGCTCAAATAATCCTCCTGCCTTGGCCTCCTGAGCAGCAGGGGCTACAGGCACACACCACCAACAGCTGGCTAATTTTTTTTTTTTAATTCTTTGTAGAAACAAGGTCTTACTATTGCCCAGGCTGGTCTCTAACTCCTGGGCTCAAGTGATCCTCCCACCTAAGCCGCCCAAAGTGCTAGAATTACAGACGTGAGTTACCACACCCAGCCTGTATTTAGGTTTTATTAACTTCATTTTATAAATTAAAAAACTGTGGCACTGGCACATGCGGTTTGTAATTTGATCAAAGCTATACATTAGGTCATGGTAGAAGAGAGAATTCCACATACATTCCAAATCTACTCTTTTTATTTTAAAGTACAGTGTACTCCTCAAGAAAAATTAGGAAAAATTATTCCTCAAGAAAAATTAGGAAAAATTATTCCTCAAGAAAAATTTACTACCCTAGTTCACTATAAATTATAAAAATTTCAAATAAAGAGCAGAATGTGCTCTCCTTTAAAGAAGTCCTTCTCAAGCTGTTGCCAAATAACCAGTAGAATATTAAAATTAAGAAAAGAAGAGAAAACTCCCTTCCAGTAATTATGTGGTAAATACTCTCAATAGTGTTCTTATCTATCCCTAGCTGTGTTGTTTCCTCATTGGTGCCTTACATCCTATTTACCCCTTTTAATTAGCCTGGTCCCAACCTGCTCCCTATGTTCTACACATCTCTCCCTCCCTCTTGCTTTCCTCAACTTTAGATACTCTGGGCAATTATAAGATCCTTATTCATTTACAGAAGTAAAAGAAAGGCTTAATTATTTTTATGTTAAGGTTTTTAATTTAAATATTAAATTTTTTAAAAATATTCATACTGTAATAAAAAGTACAGTACAGTGAATTGCCAAGTTTAAAGAAGTGGTACTTAAGCAAGAAACTTGAATAACATCTTTAACTCCTACCTCTCCCTTACCACCTACATCCAATCAATGACCAATTCCTAGTTTTTTCCCAAAACTACCAGAAGAGAAGTTTGCTTACTTCTCTCAATTCTCACTGCCACTTCCCTAATTCAATTCATTTCCAATTCTCTACTGTCCCACTGTAATCCATTCTCTACACTGCCTCCACAGTAATCTTTTAAAATGCAAAAGCAATGCCATTCCTCTGTCTAAAATCTATCAATGGCTACCTATTGTTTTTCATCTAAAGTACTTTATGAGACTTAACAAAGCACTTCACAATCCTACTTCCTCCAGACCCCTCCCTTGCCACTGTACACGCTAATCTAGCCTGTATAAGACTTATTACAGTTCCCAGATGGTTTCATGTTCTCGCACTAGAGTATTTGCTCTGTAAAAGCATTTATCATGATATGTTGTAATTGTTTTTCTACTTTGTTTTTTTTCAGCATATTATGGTTAGGTTACTTATATTGTTAAGGTTACAAATGTTATATTGTAAGCTTACAATATATATACAAATGTTACATTGTTAAGGTTACAAATGTGATATTGTTAAATTGTAATACTTATATTGTTAAGGTTACAAATGTTAAGGTTACTTATATTGCCCATGCCCCCCTACCCCCTGCCCAACACCCAATAATGTTATTCCTATATGTCCACTTAGGTGTTGATCCATTAATACCAACTTGCTGGTGAGTACATGTGGTGCTTGTTTTTCCATTCTTGAGATGCATCACTTAGTAGAATGGGTTCCAGCTCTATCCAGGAATAAACAAGAGGAGCTATATCACCATTGTTTCTTCAAGCTGAATAGTACTCCATGGTATACATAGACCACATTTTATTAATCCACTCATGTATTGATGGGCACCTGGGTTGTTTCCACACCTTTGCGATTGTGAACTGTGCTGCTATAAACATTCGAGTACAGGTGTCCCATTTGTAGAATGTCATTTGATCTTTTGGGTAGACACGCAGTAGTGGAATTGCTGGATCAAATGGTAGTGTATCGCTTTAAGGTATCTCCATAGTTTTCCACCAAGGCTGAACCAGTTTGCAGTCCCACCAGCAGTGTAGGAATGTTCCTATCTCTCCGCATCCATGACAACATTTATTGTTTGGGGACTTTTTGATAAAGGCCATTCTTACTGGAGATAAGTGATATCTCATTGCGGTTTTGATTTGCATTTCCCTGATGATTAGAGCTGTCGAGCATTTTTTCATATTGGCCTTTATTCTGTCTTCTTTTGAAAAATTTCTGTCCATGTCCTTTCCCAATTTTTGATAGGGTTGTTTGATTTTTTCTGGCTGATTTTCCTGAGTTTTAAATAGATTCTAGTTATCACCCCTTTATCGGATGTGTAGCTTGTGAAAATTTTCTCCCATTCTGTGGGTTGTCTGTTTGCTCTCTTGACAGTTTCTTTGGCCATGCAGAAGCTTTTTAATTTGATCAGGTCCCATTTGTTTATTTTTGTTGCTGCTGTGATTGCCTTTGGGGTCTTCTTCATAAATTCTTTGCCTATGTCGATGTCTAGAAGAGTATTACCAACATTTTCCTCTAGGATTCTAATAGTTTCACACCTGAGGTTCAAGTCTGTTACCCAGCATGAGTTGATTTTTGTGAGAGGTGAAAGGTGTGGGTCTTGTTTCAGTCTTCTACATGTGGCTATCCAGTTTTTCCAGCACCATTTATTGAATAATTCTTTTCCCCAGTGTATGTTTTTGTCTGCTTTGTCGAAGATTAGTTGGCCATATGAGGATAGTTTTATATCTGGGTTCTCTGTTCTGTTCCACTGATCAATGTCCTTGTTCTTGTGCCACAACCAAGCTGTTTTAATGACTCTAGTCTTGTAGTACAGTTTGAAGTCTGGTAAATTTATACCTCCTATTTTGTTTTTATTGCCTAGGATTGATTTTGCTATACAGGGTCTTCTCTGGTTACATATGAAGTATAAAATTATTTTTTCTATATCTGTGAAAAATGATGGTATTTTGATAGGGATTGCATTGACTCTGTACTTCATTTTGGGTAGCATAGACATTTTAACAATGTTGATTCTGCTGACCCATGAGCATGGTATATTCTTCCATCTGTTTACGTCCCCTGCTATTTCCTTCTTCAGTGTTTCATAGTTCTCCCTGAAGAGGTCTTTTACCTCCTTAGTTAAATATATTCCTAAGTAATTTATTTTCTTTGTTGCTATTTTGAAGGGAACTGAGTGTTTGATTTGGTTCTCACTTTTACTGTTGTTGGCGTATATGAATGCCTCTGATTTCTGTGTATTGATTTTGTATCCTGAGACTTTACCAAATTCATTTATCAATTCAAGGAGTCTCTTGGTTGAATCCTTGGGGTTTTCTAGGTACAATATCACGTCATCAGCGAAGAGAGAGAGTTTTATCTCTTCTGCTCCCATTTGGACACCCTTAATTCCGCTCTCTTGTCCGATTGCTGTAGCGAGGACTTCCAGCACTATGTTGAATAGAAGTGGAGATAGTGGGCAACCTTGTCTAGTTCCAGTTCTAAGTGGGAATGCTTTCAAGTTTTCCCCATTCAGTATGATATTGGCTGTGGGTTTGTCATATATGGCTTCTATCATTTTTAGGTAAGCCCTGTCTATGCCTATATTATTGAGCATTCTTATCATAAAAGGGTGTTGAATTTTGTCAAATGCTTTTTCTGCATCTATTGACAAGATCATATGGTCTTTGTTTTTGCTTCTGTTTATATGAGGAATTACACTTATAGATTTGCGTATGTTAAATGATCCCTGCATCCCTGGGATGAAGCCCACTTGGTTGTGATGGATTATTTTCTTGACAAGCACCTAGATTCGATTGGCTAGGATTTTGTGGAGAATTTTTGCATGTATATTCATAAGGGATATTGGTCTGTAGTTTTCTTTTTTGTTGCATC